TGGGATGATAGCTATTCTTGCAGGCATGGTTTTGGGGGATTATCTTTGAAAACTTCTTTGCTGCTGTGTAATTTACACTGCTACTGCTGGTAATGACTGTAAGAAATATGAGCAGCACTAATGAGTATGGATCACTGTTCTCCTAGAATGTAAAAAAAAAGGAGCATGGGGAGCGATGACCCTGTATGACAGATCAATCAGGTTGCAGATTGGTTCTTAGGCTATCCAGGTTATTTTCCTTAGAAGGCGTCATGTCTCACACATTTTGCTGAAGGCTATCCTTATCCATTCAAGTTCATGACAGCTATTCTTAGACATTAGTTCGTTTTTAACACCATTGCCAAGACTGGAATTGTAATTTTTAATGACAATGAAGAGACAATGTCTCTTTTATCAGGTTCAGATCTATTTAGCTTAAATTAAAATTCTTTGCTATATTTTTCCTATAGTTATTCAAAGGATTAGTGAGAAAATGTCATTGAACAGCTACTTGTCTCCTCATTAACATTCATGACAAAACCTTCCGGCCGGAGCTGGTTTCGGCTGCTGATGGAGCAATACCTAAAAGAAATTGGCTTGTATGTGAAACAGCTGCTCAGCAATGTCAGTATGCAGGGGGATTGGTGATAATAAGATGATACTATTACAGCTGCACTGGGAGCATAGTATATTTTAAGCTGCTTTGAGGTATACAGTTGAGGTCCAAGAATTGGAGCATGATTATTTGTCTAGTGCTAGGAACAGGAAACAACTGATTGTTACATGTCTGCTTATACAGGTTAGTCCTACACAAAGCCTTGAGGTTAAAGAAAAATCTGTATCTGCTGGAATTCTTCATTTCCTGTGTGTTTTCTGTCTGCTGGAAAAGCTTTTTGTTTCTTTTCCTAGTGTTTGGAAAGGTTTGTGTGTCCTTTTGCTGAAACAGGTGTTGTCTTCTTTGCTAGGAACATTGAGCACCTGCTATTTCAAAGGAACTTTTCTCAGTTCAGCGATTTATTTATTTGGCAAGATTCTTAAGAGAAGATTCTCTGGATCCTCATGCACCCATTAGTGAAATTCCAGATACTGATTTTGTTTGAAAAGACCATCCGGTATGTCAGTGCAATGACAAATATGTAGATGTGGGCAATACAGTTGTAAACATCTGCACATAAAGCTGAGCCAAGAAACAACTGGCAGCTAGCATTATATGTTGTATGCTAATGCACGCCTCTTGTCTATAACATGGAAACCGAATGAAAAATAACATTGTCAGACCTTTGGCTCTGAGAAATCTTTGAACCTCACATACTATGAGGAATAAAACAGGAAAAAATGAATGTAGAAGAATGGAGTAGTTAAAAGTCCCAACATACTGACCACCTCTTAGAAATGTGGAGGACAAATGAATAAGATATGAAAGCTTATAAAGGGCTTTAAAATGTAAGAATTGATTGCCAGTTAAAAGAAAGATTTAACAAGTTCTGATCATAGTTAGTTCCAAAAAGCCTAGTAATTTTTAAAGTTCTCTGTTACAAATTTCATATTTACCTTCTATTGCTTTTAGTGATTACAGAAATTTAGTTCTTGTAAAGACTTGGAAGTACTGTACTTGAGGTAAAATGAAATACGAAACTGACATAGAAATTATGTAAGACCATTGACAGCAGACTGAGGGAGGTGAATCTTTCTCTCAGCTCAGCATGATAAGGCTACACATGGAGAGATGGGTCCAGGTCTGCACTCCCCAGTACAAGAGAGATATGTGCACACTGGCTACAAGCTCAGCAAAGGGCAATAAGGTGATGAGAGGACTGGATCACCTCTCATAGGAGCAGAGAGAGCTGGGACTGTTGACTAGAATACCTCCATCACATCTCAGCCATGATCTGTGATTCTGTATAATGATGTTTGTCTTACCAGAGGGCTAAAGAGACAATGTTCAAGTTAAAGCAGATTGAATTTACTTTAAGATTAGATCACGAATCTGGGACAAAATGCTGAAAAGGAAAACAGATCTCAAATTGTCTCTCAAAATGAAAATCATAACATCATTCCATCTATGCCTAAGTGTACGGTTGTGGGGAAGAAAGCAAATAAAATTGTCGGCAGAGGGGCTCGAGACAAACTGCGATGACCAATGTGATCAGCAAAATGTCTGTCTTTATTTACAAAGATGCCCCTTAAATACTGTTACTATACCCCAGCGCATGATTTCTTCTTCTACAGTATTGGTTACATGAAAGTATTCACAATGTAAACATGCCCTGTTGACCACTTCTAATTGGATTATAGCAGGTGTCCATACAAAATGAGGACACATGTTTACCTCTTGGGACTCCACCTTAATCTTGGCATAGATCCTTCTTTGTCTCAGCTTTAGAGCCTGAAGCCATGTTAACTATGCAGCATTTTTTACTGTTTGTACCCAGTTATGCCAAGGCAAGGCTCTCAAAAATGCAGAAGAAATTGCTCACTCAATCTTTGCTCTCCCAACATAAAATAAGAAAGGCAAGGCCTATGAAGGTCAGATCAAAATTCAACGAAGAATTGAATTCATGTACTCCTAAGAATACTTATGTTTCAAAACTTAACATTACCCTAAGAATGCCCAGTACAGCAAAAAAAAAAAAAAAAAAAAAAGTGAAGGTCTACAAGATATCCCTTTGATGTCCCTTTCAAGAGTTTTCAAAATTATATAAATGTCTGAATGAACAAAGAGCTTGGCAGCAACTCTAGTTTAAATTAACTCCTTACAGGAGCAAAGCTAATATCTATCGCAACATTCCTTAGATGTTCATATATTCATTTATTGCTTACATGCGCTGCTCTTGATAAACACCGGTACTTTACAAAACTTCCATAAAATCATCACAATTGGCTTTATCTGTTTTGTTATTTGTGGTATACTAGCATTAAATGGAAGAATCATGTATCAGAATTCCCTTGTGCAATCAAAGTACCAAATTAAAAAGCAACAACAAAAAAGGATGATTCTTGAACAGTTAAAACACTGGCCTTATCTAACAATCTTAATATTACTTCATACTGAAAAGCAGTATCCTATTTTAAACTGCAACAAATTTAGCTGATTTTACACTGAAAGACAGCCTATTAGGTGAATACATTTTTACATTAATGTATTTGCCTCTCTAGAAAGACTAAGTAATTTTTCATATAAGTGATCAAATTTTGAATAGTTTTAGAATAGCATTAAAATACTGAAAGCATACACTAAGTTCAAATGCTCTCTGATAAGATGTCACATTCCAAATTCCCTTTAAAACATCAGCCATAAGACAGAAGAAAACACTCAGTCTTTTATTCCATTTATTTATCTGTGGAGCAGATCCATAAGAATCCCAGAGCGGAGTACTTAAAAACTATCAGTAAGTTTCAGCTATACCTTACCATCAGTACTAAGATACAGAATTTCAGTTATTGAAAATGCCATAATGCCCTTAAGATCATTGCAACATAAAAAGGCCTGAAGTTGCCAAAGAACTAGTAAGGTGACATCTGAGCTCTGTGGTCAATGAGCCCAAAATTTTGAGTATACTGCATGGCTCACTGAACACCAGCAATCATCCTGGTTTCCTTCTATAAAAAAAAAAAAGAGCCTTGTACAGGCCCTAGATGGTTTGAGATATCTGTTCTGCTTGCACACTCATCTTGTAAGATCACACATGACTTCTGGATTTATTTTGTTTATAGATCCTTTGAAGATAAGTAAAATTTTGAAAATCCACTGCACAAAAAGTTCCAAATTCACATTTAAAAGGAAAGTCATCATAATGCAGAACAGTGCACAGTCATTCACACCTTCCAAGGACACTCACTAAATTATATTAGCATCTGATCTGCAGCTGTGGATTTTTCTCCAACTCAGCCCCATATTATAAATTTTCCATTCCCTTCTTTTTTAATTCCTTTTCCCTTCTGTGTCATATTGAGAAAATCAATATTAGAAAAAAAATCTTTAATTGGATATGATACAGAATTACCCCAAGGAGTTAGAGACATCTTCACTTTTTTCTGAATGCAACCTTACAGTTTCGAATTAAGCTTACATTTTCGGAGATAACCTTTCCACCATTCTCCTACATGTGTGTATATGACCCATTACCTGGGGTTAGCCAGCTTTACTCCACCTATTTTCAGGCTTTCCACCTACACAAAGCTCTGCAATCCTCTTTGCAATGCTGATTTACCCCTCATAATGCCAGACTCTTTTCAACTTACACATATGCAGAAGTGCTTAGGGTGATACTTTTAACACAAACGCAGATTTCATATTTAGATAAAACCATGACTTAAAAATATGGACACAACCACAAACACTGATTAATCTTCAGTATTAAAGACAAGCACTTAAAAAATTGTGACCCCATAACCTTGATCTTACAAAGCTCTTATAAAGGATGATTGCAAGCAAATAAAGCCCCCAAACTTTTTTTTTCAGTTCTTTCTAGGTAGAAAAGATGTGTTTGATGCTGCTTAAGTACTTCGTATGATAATCCCTCTCAAGCGCAACTGAGGCCTTTGTGTTTGGAAGCCAGAAGCCCTTTTAGAGACTCTGTACTTCACAAGAAAATCATGCAGGAAAAAACCACAGCCTTAAGGCTATAAAAAGGCAAACTACACAAATAGTTCTCTGCAATAACAAAAATCATGGGAGATCCACAGTTCATCTTGCAACAGTGAACATGATTACAAACCTAAATTTTGCATTTGAAACTAGGAGACAAAAATTATAAACGTCTCTATGCATATCTAATCTCTTTTTTCAACATTAGCCAAGCCTGCAGGCGCTTAATAGTCTGATTCTTGATGTCATTGTAATTAAAGGCAATACTCACAAGGCTGATAAGCATACCAGCTGTACGTTAACCCTTATCTTAGCCAAACTGAAAACTGCAAATGTGATATCTAATGGTAAAGAAAAGAACACTGGAATTTATTATGGATACCTGACTCTTAAATCCCATAAGCATGAAATAAGTAAATTATATCCAGCCTACCGTCAAACTTCTTGTGCCGGGATACAAAAGTGGTGCGTACGAAGTGACTTGTCTCCTCCACTAAGTTTTCAAACTCCAGTTTGCTCTGTTGGCTTAACTTGTCCTCCATTTCTGAGGTGCAGCATGTATATTCCTGAGGGCAGATTCTCAAATGTTCCCCTGGAATCACAAGAAAAAAGGAATTGGAAATATTTGAATACAGACAGAAATGTGCCAGAACCAAATACAAATGATGGCTCTCCAGTTTGGGTGGATTACCCAAAGAGCTCTTTAAGGCTTGACTTCTTGACAGAGAACACTTTGAATCTGTATCAACAACTTTTCTATAGTTGGGTATTCCTCACATGGGAGGGGAGACACACTTTGCAGAGTTGTTTTGATACTTTAAGAGGTACAACTATCTCACATCAAAGTGTTTTCTCACTCTGAAGAAGCCTTCCTTATTTACAGAAATACACTTAAGATTTGAAAAACAGTTGCTTGCTGTCTGTCTGTATTCAAAATGCCTGGAGAAATACCTAGTGAGATGACCTGTTACAAGTCATTGGAACTGTCAAAACTTGAAAAACAGAAATCATGCATTTGCTGTCAAAACCTGAAAAACAGAAATTATGCATTTCTGTAGACAGGTCCCACTTGCCCTAGTGCACGGAAACATTCTCCCCTTCTCACCTTCCTTCCCTTCTGCTTAAGTGTATTTTAAAGACTGTTTTTGGATGCCACATGTTTTCTTGGGCAGTATTTCTTGTCAGACTGAGCAAATGCTCTGCTGAATAAGAGAAAGCAATGAAGAGTTTAATTAATGCTTATGTTATACAGAAATGTAATGTAAAAGGTAATGAAAGCCTCTTATTTAATTCAATAGATTTATCTCTTGAAGCACTGTGCCAGTTCTTCTGACAATATTGCTTTCTTCAGTACAATTTGCAAGTGGAAACCAATTCTTCAGCTCATGAAATTAAAATGGTCTGTTATTACATGAAATGTGAATTTCCAATTGACACTGTACTAAGGGTGTCAGAAACATTTAGCTCAGTTTGTACAAAGGCAGGAATTTCTACCATTCCCTCTTGAGAAATAAAAAGAATGATCTACCTCTATGATTAAAGTAACTTGTAAGGCAATGAAAACATTTAGCTTTCTGTACACTGAATCCTGATTAAAAATCCCTCTGCAAATCTCTTAAAGGTGCAAATAAAATGATATACAAAGCCCGAGGGTTAAATAAATACTAGGGACCTGATTCTCATTTATATGGAGACTCCTTTCTACCACTGCTGAGCCATAAAGAAGACTTAAATGCAATTTATACCTACTTTAAGGCTGCTTTTCACCATTCTTATTATGTAGTGAGGAGAATCAGGCTCTAAGTTTAATGCTTCCCAGGAGTATAATACATTTAGCTGCCGCATCATTTTGAAGGCAGCATCACAAAGAGGTTTGCATATGCTTAGAATAAACATTGTCCTGAGTTTGCCCTCAGCTTATCCCAATTTATGTTTCAGTTCTTGAATGAAGACTTTTAATTTGAAATTCAGTCATTCCTCAACCCTGATGCATCCCCATTTTGTTTTTTTTTCTTCAAGAGTTCATCATAATATACGAACTATAATGCCATGAGATTTCTTTTAGCAATCTCAAGATTTTTTAAAAGCTCAGGAAGGATCATTACACATCTTCAGGAAGGATCATTAATTATTATCAGTTACTGTTCAGCAGTACTAGCTACAAGACTTAGTTATGTCCAAAAGCATAATGATAAAAATCACTGTATAAACCTGGAAAAAAATGATGCCCCATCACCATCAAAATATTGTAAGGATTGTTTCCCATGCCTATTACACCTTCCCAACACAATCAAATAATTTTTTTCCATCCTCAAAATCACACATCTAAGCAAAAAACAAGACACACAGGGCCTGGTGAGCTAGCTGCTGTCAAACATAAAAGATAGTGGCAAACTAATGTTTGCCTTACCCTCTACATCTGTCACATTAAACTGAAACTATTCAACAGGTAAAGGAGGTACCATAATAAGAAACAACAAAGGTTATTTTAGTAACAGTAATGTTGTGAGGTTTTTATTAGATGTCAGAAAGACAAGTAAAGCTGAAATACTGTGTCATTAGAAGCAGTACTGCATGCTTGATTAAATTAAAAAGAAAACAAAAACCCATCCATAATGTGTGCAACCCCCTTCCTTGATAAATCCAGGGGTTTTTGTTTATTTTAAACACCTACTATCCCAGTTCCAGCCACAGTCGTAGTTTATGCTTTCATTATGGTTATTATGATTATGTCCTCTAGTGCCATTGCAACCAAGGAATTTTATAAAGCTCAGTTTTCTTTCCTCTGCTCATGTCAAGTTCTTATTCTTTTCTCTCTGGCTCTGTTTGTTTTTTCATGACTGCCAGACTATAAACTGAACTAACGGTAATCATCAAGGCACTGTGCTTAGTAAGTAACAGTTATGAGTCTAAATTTTTTAAGACACTATGTTGTGCTGAATACTATGACAAATTAAATCCTATTAAACAGTTATTTTTGCAGCAATATTAATTTTTCTTTTACTTATTTATTTGCAGTCTTACTTTTGCTTTACTACAAAAATTACTTCTCACTTTGGCTGCTACAAACTCATTCAGATTCCTACTGCACTTCTTTTTTATACGTGTATTTTCATTAAGTTTCTTCTTTTTAATTTACTGTTTATTCATTCATTCATGAGGTTCTTGAATGCCTAAATCTGAAACTCACATTTATCAGAAATGCTCACATCTTCTACATTACCTCATTGCCTTTTTCTCCCAACAATGTCTTCCTAAATCATCTAAGCTAGCCACCCACCATCATCACAAAAACTTTGCTGAACTTTAATGAATTTTTTTTTAAACCACAATTCTAGTTCTTCTCCTCTCCCCAACCATATACTCACTCCCTGCATTTTTGTAGAATGAAATAATAATGGAAATACTGTGCTACTCCTAATATTCTGCTTCAAGATTTTTGCCTTCTTCTCTTTCCTGAACTAGAGATTCAGGTCAGATTACAGATAAAGCAAAAGAAAAAGCAAAATTATCTTCCATTGCTTCATGCCAAGAGGTTCAGTATACTTTGCAAAGATGAAGATTTTAGAAATTTTGTCTCATAAGCCCTGGCATGTTTATACCAAGCATGACTGGCTGTAGTCTCCATAGGTTCACAACTTAGACAAAAGCTCATGTGCTTTCCAAGGAATGGCAAATGGAAACTTTCTGACAAAGTAATTTCTGTATGCCTAATCTTATTTGCTTTTTAAAAGCATGATTTCCATTTTTTACTCATTCTTACCAAACCTCCAAATCATGTTAGAATCACCAGATCATTAGTTCACTCCTTGTAAAAAAAAAAAAAAAAATGGAAACAATTTTCTGAAAACAGAAGTAGGGAGTTGGCGGGGGGGGAGGTTGTTGGTTTCTTTGTTAGTTTGTTTTTTTAATTAAGGGGTGAGTGCTTTATTTTGGATTTTTTTTTTCTTCTTTTATGCAAATCTGTGTCCTAACAGACTGTTTGGATTGGAAATAGCTCTGCAGGCTATATTTGATTGTGCTTCCTCTGATTTCTTGAATTGGATCATTTACCGTTTGCATTTTATAATACATTGTTCTATTACCATAGAAGGAGTTTAATCACTAATTTGTGTATTTACACACCTCAAGTATTTTGCAGGCTGAAAATGTGCTCATAACTAATGTACCAATTCTTGCCCTGGGAAACTCCATATGGTCTAGGTTCTCATGCTAATTTTAGCAACACTTTTTATGGGACAAGTGGCATTGGACATAACTGAGTAGTTTTTCCTTGTTGCAAATGGTGTGTCCCCAAAGACGTTTGATAGAATGTAGTTTCACTGCACCAGCATTTTGCCAGACTGAACAAGTATGAACTCAGTATTCCTAGCGACCTACCACAACTCTTCTAACCACTGTTTCCAGCTGAAGATGCTGACATACAAATATCTCCTCATGTGGCTTATGTTATATAAATCAAATGAATTGTCTACTACAAATACAGCTACCAGTATTCAATTTCAGTTTTATTACAGCTGTAATCTCACACCTGCCTTCACATGATCCAAATTGGCAAGTTTTGCAGTTGAATTTGGCAATCCTTCTAGCATGCAGCTTTGAAGTGTGATAAAGCAATTTATAAAGCACTTGTTTTATATTCAGATGTATTGCAGTTTAGTGTCCTTAAAACATGCTACAAACCTCACAAGTCTTTAAAAAAATTGCAACTTACAGCTCTCAACCTGAATAAATGCTTTTACTGTGTGTCAAAATGCTGAAACTGATTTGACCATTGTATCTACTTGCACTGGATACAATCTGAAGGATCAATAAACTCTAAGGAATATAACATTACCCTTAACAATTTCACCAACAGATTTTCTGAACATCTGATGCAAGCATTGTTTACACTATTAGAACTGGAAGTATGATCCATAAAACATTTAACATCAGGTAGAGTTTTTTATGGGTCATGTTGCAAGTTAACAGTATTGGAAACAATTCTTTCTCAAGCAGTCAATATTTTATAGTTTCTATCCTAATCATAAATTTAAAAACCTGATACTGGTCTCTTCACAGAATGGCAGGACTAACTGTATGGCTGGAGGGAAGAGAAACATACAGTCACCACACTGATTCATAAATACAGGAGTGAATAAATGTTGATAAAACAAAGGGGTAAATTCACGGTGTGTTTTCAAAATTCATCACCTTGTATTCATCAACAGAGTCTAAAGGAAGAAAAGATATCTCTGCATTCTTCATCATGCAGATTAGATTAATGTGATTTGGCTTTGTCATTAGCTGTGTTCTTTGAAATTAGAAATACCTGCTTCAGACCTGCCCATATTCAATCAGCTGTGGAGAAAGCAGTGCAATTTACTAACAGTATGAAATTTAACAAAGTTCCAAGTCCTGCACCTGGGATGGAGTAGCCAAAGAGCCAGTACAGGCTACAATCTGTAGCAAGGGGAGATGCCTTGATGAAAAGAATGTGGTCTCCTGGTGGACAACAAGCCAACATGAGTCAGCAGTGCACTGCAGCAGCATTAAAGGCAAATCCCATACTCGGTTGCATCCCCAGCAGCATTACTGGCAGAGACAGAGACATGGTCATCCCATTATACTCAGTGTTTGTCACGCTGAGTACTGAAGCACTGTCCTGGTCCCCACAATTCAAGGAAGATGTAGACAGACTTGAAAGGGCCCAAAGGAGAGTCATGAAGATGATCAAAGAACTGGAGAACCTGCTGTGTGAGGAAAGACTGAAAGAGGTAGGTATTTCTCCCTAGAGCAAGAGAAGGCTCAGGAGGTACCTAATCACAGTATTCCAGTACTTAAAGAGTAGGTACAAAGAGGATAGAGGGTCTCTCTTCACAAGGAGCCACATGGAGAAGAAAAGGGGTAAAAGGTACAAGTTGCACCAAGAGAAGTTTCATCTTGGCATAAGAAAGAAATTTTTTAAACTGAGAACAATCAGCCACTGAAACAACCTCCCCAGGGACATGGTGGAGGCCCCATTGCTGGAGGTTTTCAAGATGCAATTGGACAGTGTTAGTTAATCCCATCTAAATTCCCTTTCCCACAGGGACTGAGACCACATAATCTGTCAGGGTTCCTTCCAAAGTGCGCTATTCTATGGTTCTGTGATTAGGTACTTCAGAGCTTCCTACCTCTGAATTACAAAGGACTGGAATCACTGGAGTTCTGTTTCTGAATCAGCATTTTCTACCTAATTTTCTATGTTTTTTTAAATTATTAATTTAAATTGTTTTAAAAACATGACAAATAACATTAAAAGAAAAATGTCATTCTGCTTTAACCCTTGCCCAGAGTTTTGGGATTTGGATCTTTTTCAGTATCGGTGATAAATACCTGCTTTTTCAAGTTTTCAACTTAAGTTATCTACTGGTGAAATCAGGAGCATTGGAGAACTCTTAATGATCACTATTAATTTTCTATTATAGAAAGCCATTCTTCTCCAATACACTTATACCTTTCTGTCGTGTCACTCATGTGCAAAGAGAAAACAGTGCTGTAGAAGAATCTGACTAACAATCATCTTTAACTTGAAAAAAACCCAAACACAAGAAGCACTATCATGTTGTCTGCATTAGCTTATTTAGCAGTTTAAAATAAACTACACACATGAGTTATAGAATTTCAGCCAACATTCAAATAGTGAAAATTAAAATATCATTTTGTTGGACAAAAACCTGTTCCCTAACCAAAAAGTCCTAAGGCTCCTTCTGACTTTGTAATTATCTTCTCTGTGGGGTACAACAGCCCTGCAAGCAGCATCTGTAAAATTGCACCTGACATTCAAGTCACAGATTGAACTTTCCCACTCAAACTAAAAGGAAACAGATTACATTTTAAATTAATTCCATTGTAATATTGGCCTTACAAGTGATGACAAGAGCAACATTTGCACAGAAAATGAAATCTGAAGGAAGGGAGGGAAAGCTGTCTGTAACACACAGATTGTGCCATTGGACACAACTCTTCTAATTTTAATCAAAAGAGATGATTTTTGAGTGGTCTTGCGAATCCAGAGAGGTCCCAACTGACTGGGAGCTGGTGAACATTGTTCCAATTCTGAAGAAGGGCAAGAAGGAGGACCCCAGAAACTAAAGGCCTGTCAGTCTCACTTCAGTGCCTAGTGAAGTTATAGAGAAGATTATTCTGGGAAGTATTGAAAAACACCTGCAAGACAACATAGCCATTGGGCACAGCCAGCACAGCTTCAAAGTCTTGCTTATCCAACCTGATTTCCTTTTATGACAAAGTAACCCACCTAGATGATCAAGCGAAGCCACCTGAGGTAATTTTTTTGGATTTCAGTGAAGCTTTTGATACTGTCTCTCACATCATCCTTCTGGACAAAATATCCAGCCCACAGCTGGCTAAACACATCATGGAGTGGATGAGCAATTGGTTCACAGGTTGAGCACAGAGGGTAATAGTGAATGAGGGAACATCACACAGACTGGTGACCTGTCACTAGTGGAGTTCCACAGAGCTCCATCTTAGGCCCTGTGCTCTCCAATATCTTTATAAATGACTTGGATGCAGGACTGGAAGGGATACTAAGCAAGTTTGTAGATGACACACAACTGGGAGGAGCTCTTGACTACCTTGAAGGCAGCGAGGCCCTCCAGAGAGATCTTGACAAATGAGAGGACTGGGCAATCACCAAACATATGAAGTTCAACAAGGGAAAGTGTAGGATTCTGCACCTGGGATGGGGCAACCCTGGATGTTTGTACAGACTGGGGAATGAGATGCTGGAAAGCAGTGACACGGAAGGGGACTTGGGGATCCTGGTCAATGGCAAGTTGAATCTGAGTGAGCAGTGCCCTAGCAGCCAGGAGGGCCAACCATGTCTTGGGGGGCATCAGGCAAAGCATTGGCAGCCGTTTGAGGGAGCGGATTATCCCGCTCTGCTCTGCAGTGATGGGGCCTCACCTTGAATATTGTGTGCAGTTTTGGGCACTGCAATATAAGAAAGACATTAAGACAATGTCCAAAGAAGGGCAATGAAGATGGTGAAGGGCATTGAGAGGAAGCCGTATGAGGAGCGGCTGAGGTCACTTGGTCTGTTCAGCCTGGAGAAGAGGAGACTGAGGGGAGACCTCATTGCAGTCTACAACTTCCTCGTGAGAGGAGGGGGAGGGGCAGTCACTGATCTCTTCACTTTGGTGACCAGTGACAGAACCTGAGAGAATGACCTGAAGTCACATCAGGGGAGGTTTAGGTTGGATATTAGAAAAAGGTTCTTCACCTAGAGGGTGGTTGGGCACTGGAACAGGTTCCCCAGGGAAGTGGTCAGAGCACCAAACCAGACAGAATTCAAGAAGTGTTTGGATGATACTCTCAGGTACATGGTGTGACTCTTGGGGGTGGTTCTGTGCAGGGCTAAGAGTTGGACTCAATGATTCTTGTGGGTCCCTTCCAACTCAGCATATTCTTTGATTCTGTGAATATTGAACTTGAAAAATTTTTATGTCCAGTGTACCCCAATGAACCTGTGCAACTACCCCATGAAGTTGACTCATTTGTTTGCCTTGGACCCAAATCACATTTGCTCAGATTCCTTTTGTTGCTTGAATTCTTTGAGGTCAATTAAAAAATTAATGCCTTCCAAACGGACTGATAATTAGTTAACAGTCTCTTCATTACAGGTCCCACAGGGAACATTTATTTGCAAGAAGCCGTGACCCTCTTGTCCTTGGGAAGATCTCAGCAATAAGTTATCAAAGCTGAAGCCAAGGCAAATCTGTTCAGGCTAAGACTATATAGATGCTAAAGAAAGAATTGAAGTCTCTAGAGTATTCCTAACTAAACTACTAGAAGCACTACCACTACTTGAACACTCAGGATCATTTTATTTTCCGAGCATACACAGTCAGACAAATTGTTTTTTGATAGCACAGTTTGTGAGAAGAATCTTTAGTTACCTCTTGGGGAGTGTATTACTGGCTTTGTGCTCAGTGCCTTCTGGAAAGCAAATGGTAAGGCTATGATTCAGCACTGTACAGTTTCATCATCTCACCGACTACACAGCTGCAATTTTCTGATTTCAAGGCATGTTTCCACCTGGGAATGGCAGCCAACTTCCCCTCCCCCTCAACTGAGTTTTGCTGTTTATTACATCCTCTACTATAATAGCAGAAATATCTTACATAACATTATAGTGAGAAGTAGAATACAAGCAGCACATCACTTTACCATGACAGTAAAACACAATGCAAGGCAGGTTTTATATTTCATCCACTCTCAGAATAATTTTATTATTGTGATAACAAGATGAGATGGTACACATTCATGCATTTATAAAGATTTTAATCAACATTCCTCACATGAAACTGAAATCCAAACATGTGACTGTAGTACATGACACAGAGACAGATTTATACCACTTAGTTCAGACACCTACAAAAATACTGCTGCGGTAGGAAAGAGTGCTGGACTTAGTTGCCCTGGACCAACTGGATATGCTGTTCTGCCAAAAGAAGTCCTTAAGATAGTTACACCATTACTAATTTGCATACAGTAAAAGTTAAAGCAGCATGAGCTACAGTCATGCCATTTGATTGCACTTTCAAGTGTATTTTAAAGCTGTGCAGATCCCTTGCTAATCACTGTATTATCATGCATAAAATCCATGTTTCTAACAACAACTGTTTAAGAGTCATTAATCACAATGCTCTTCTCTTATTCATACAGCTTCACTTAGCCCAAAGAGACCTTTTCATTCTACCAGATTAATCTACGTTCCTGTCTTCTGATTGATAATGACATGGTTTCCTGCAATGCCAGTCATAGAAACAGTTCACAAAGATAAATGATAAATGTCAAGTTGGTCTTAAGTCATAGGTTGTAGTACGTATGTCAGTAGTAAGATTTTGGTGCTTCTGCCATAAGGTCTTTATTGAGATATTTTTCAGCCTAATCTCTTTCTTAGTTCCTTAAGGAAAAAGAGAGTACAAAAAGAGAGGCTACAATTTATAAAGATCTGAGAGTCCTGTTACTGTACTGACTCAAGGTCTATCCATTAAATTTCAGGGCCAGAAATGCTGGCATTTGTCCTTTCATTTCTGTTTGGAACCAACTACTGTGAAAAGCAAAATGCCTCTACCAGCTCCTAAGTATTAACCTTACTGTGACACAAGTCACAAGGCAAAGCACTTTCTCCAAGTTTATGTATCTTTGGCTTTATAGGAGGGGGAAAAAAACTTTTTTTTTTTCTCCCACAGAGGCATGCTAAAAATATGTCAACAAGTGTAATGCACAGTGAAGTCACTTAATATGAGAGGCCAAAATATGCAAAAAAAAAAAAAAAATTCTCTTACTACCACGCAGGAGTTCCGTGGTCTGTGAGCCAAATTTGGTGAAAGTTTATGTGTCCTTGGCTTGGTTCCACAGATCTAATCACTGTTACAGTGTGAGAAAGTTGATGTTAAAGCCAAATAAAGTAGTGGAACCAAAGCACAGACAGAATTGTGGGAGTTAAAGGATTCAAGAGGAAAACTACTGACATGGGAAAGTGTGAAACCCCACGGGGAAAAAAAAGTGACAAACTGGAAAGTGGCAATGAAGCAACAAGGACAATCAGCTCATTTTCAACCTAAATGATGATTGCACCTGAGGATTATTGGGTGTCTTACCACTGATGGTAATCGATCTATTGCTTAGCTGCATAACTCATTAGTCCTAATTATCTATCACGTGTAGCAAGCAAAAAAAGATTGCTTTGTACTCTTGTGTATGTTCTGGGTTTGGGCATGCCCTGCGGTGACTCAGGGAGAATTGAATCCCAGTAGTTAGGGGAAAAACTTCCCCAGCTGCTCTTCCTGATTGGCCAAGTAGAAGAAGATACCACAGTAGGTGGGTGAGTGGCATCTCCTTAAGACATCTCAGAACTACAGAAGTAAGTATTTAGGTCTTTCCTAAAGGTGTACAAGAGAACGTTCTATGAATTCCCATACGAAATCTTATGCAATTAAGGAACTCAGATCTTTTTCTGCCCACTCTTATGAAAATTAACACTGCTGAAATGACTCTCCTTCAGTGACAGTTGACATAGGAGGAAGTAGTACAGGTACAGATATCTACTAAAAATGTGCCAGTGGAAAGTTCTCTCATGTGAAATTTTTTTTTCTATCAACTGACTATTTTTAGATTGTTTTGATTCACTTATGTGACAGATATAACTTCAGGAAACTGAAAATACCCATGCTTTAAATTATGAATAAAAATATTCTGAATTAAGAGGCTTCTAATTATCACTATGACACTAAAGTTTCTCTGTGGATATTGTCAACTATATCATGAGAATAGATATATTATTAAAACCATGCATCAGCAAACTTGACAGATATGCAGAAAATTCTGAAACATTTTCAATAACTTATATTTCCTTAGGAGTCTCAGAGTTCAGCAATGAGGACTGACATTCTTGAAATCCTTTGTTCATTACTGCTTTCAATAACCAGCTG